AGACATAGATCACATTATAAGTAAATATGTTATTAGTATCCATCGCGTAAATATTTTTATTTCTTAGATATCTCTCCTCTTACAATACATGAATATCTAAAAACATAGTTACCAGCTAGGAAATCGATGTAGCCACAAATATATTGAGAGAAAAAGATCTAAGAAATAATAGATGTTTGTTCAGTTGAAAAATTTTAAGAAATAGTAAATACTTATTCGGTGGATACACTAATATAATACACATATTTACTTATATATTAATATAAAATACTTTTCAAATAAAAGAATATACATGTTCTCAAGATCCCTTAAGAAAATTTTAGCTTAGATTTAAGTAAATATGTTATTAACATCCACCAAAAAAATATCTACAATTTTTCAGATATTTTTCCTCTCAATGTGGCAAAAGTTTAAGTTACAATAGCAAACTTTAATCACAGCGACAAATACATTTTCAGCAAACCATGCTTAGCTGCGACAACAAAATCTTTTCTTCTCGTATGGTAGAGGCAAAGCTGCTCGATGCAGCGTGGAGGGCGACAAAAGGAAAGTGGATTGCGGTCTGGAGAAGGTATCCCGGAGGAAGAAGTTCACAATTTCGAGCCGTGGACCACGGGTTTCGAAGTTCGCGCGCGGCGCGTCGCGGCTTCGGGATTGCACTTTCATCATGAAAACTCTACCCACGTTGAAATTATGCTCATGCGCCGCGCGGCGACATACCTTCCGTCACGGAGCCGCCTTTCCCACAAACTGGAAGCGGATGACACGAAGTAGCAGGGTGGAAGGCGGCAGTAAGAGGAGAGAGGGGGGGGGAGAGAGAGAGAGAGAAAAGGAGATAGGAGCAGCGCACTTCTTCCCAGGGATTCCCTTTCGAAGGCGAACGGAACCGATTCCGCGGCAGGAAAGTTGCCGGACGCCCCGGGCATTACTTTACCACCGTCGCTTTGTCCCGATAAACAATTTGTATTCAAAGCGACGCTGTGAATTTCAGCATCGTCGGCGTGAGGGCGCGCGTGTGTGTTCGCCAGCGCGTCCTGGCATGAAACTAACGAAGCCCGCGAGCGCAATAGGAGCCATTCGGCGGAATTTACGTTAAACGTCGTCGCGCGAGAGAGAGAAAGAGAGAGAGAGGCCACGGCCTCGGATGCTTATTTTTGCGCGAACGGTAATATAGTGGCTACCGCGACATTCGCGGAACATGTAATCGCCATGGCACGCCGGTGTGTAATGCAAGATACGAGACATCGCGACTACACCTCTCGTGCCTTCGCGCTCTCGCCGCGATCGCCGGAGAAGTGTGCGCAACCCGGCATTGAAATTCCCGAGGGACTCGCGAGGGAGGCATTCGCGCGAAGGGACGAATGCTGACGGCCAGGAGGGCTTCCTCTCGCCTTCGGTCTCGGCGGACCGTTACGTTCTGAATTTAGTAACGCGGATCGCGTTCTGTGTCACGCACAGGCCGCCGATTAATGAGCGAGCAACGCGAGCGCGGACGTGACGGGGAGTCGTGTGTCGCAATTTTTCTCTGCGGCCGGAGCGATGTGCATCCGGGTCAAAGTATCGCGCCCGCAAATTGCATTCTGCAACACGTCGCGTCGGCTGATTATCGTCCGCCGCGGAAACAGTCCTTTTCGTGTTTCGGGTTTGAAAAAAGCACGAGACAAATAAATTTGGATGTATAAGAGAGAGTTGGAGTTAAAACTTATTTTAATTCGGCCAAATTCCCTTAGGAATTTGTGATAGTATTACAAAATTATTACAGATTATAGAAAAAGAGAGATAGACAGATGCATGTATTATATACCCTTAGGGGTACTATTCCGTTCCCGCGTACCGACAGTTGTCGAATCGGTAGGCGTCGTTGCGCAGCTTTTTTA